TAATTAGCCACAAAGTGGATCCCACTTTCCCAAGCAAGGCAGAAGTCTTCCTTCATCTTCCAGTCTTCTTGCACATGATTCAGCTTCCAACAGTCAGAGGCAATCTTGAGAGAATAGAACTCAAAAGTAATCAAAAGTTGAGGCAGCAGCTGTGCCTGGGAGAATTACCTTCTGCCAATGAGGCATCACTCTGCTGGACTCCTTGTGGGTGACGGTGGCACTGTTCCTGGACTTTTTTGTTGCTCAGGTTTTTTTTTTTTTTTTTTAAATTTTTTTAAATTTTTTGCCAGGCAGAGTTAGACAGTGAGAGAGAGACAGAGAAAAAAGTCTTCCTTCCATTGGTTCACTCCCCTAATGGCCACCACGGCCGGCACTTCAGCGATCCGAAGCCAGGAGCCAGGAGCTTCCTCCTGGTCTCCCATGCGGGTGCAGGGCCCAAGCACTTGGGCCATCCTCCACTGCACTCCCAGGCCACAGCAGAGAGCTGGACTGGAAGAGGGGCAACCGGCACCCATATGGGATGGCGTGCTGCAGGAGGATTAATCCACCGTGCCACAGCTCTGGCCCCTAGAAAGTACTGATAGAACTGTTTCTAGTGGCCTCCTGCTTGGCTTATAATTAGTTTTAAATCAAAAATATAAATCTTAGCTAATAGGAAGAAGACGTTATGAATGATCATTTCAATGTTCTCGCTCCATTTTAATGTTTAACATTTCAAGTCTCTTGTATGGTGAAGCCAAACAAGCTGACATCTACACAGAGAAAACAGGATTCAATTGACTATTTCTGTGTGTGTGTGTGTGTATTCTATAACCCTTCTGCAAAATACCCAAATCAGTAAATGGGAAAACGCACTCATTCTTCTGCTGTGGTTCAACAGGGACATATACCAGGTTCATGCACATCCAATGACCTAAATAAAACCCACACAGATCTTCAAATTCAAAGGGAGGAAAGTACAGTGTCACTCAGTTTCAGAAGGGTGAGGGGCAAACACATTCAGTGAACAACATTCATACTACTTGTACAACACAGACTGCTTCTGAATCATTTTGAAAACAGATTTCACATGTTCTAAACGGCTCTTTTGCTTTTAACATAAATCTGCTTTGCCTAGGGCCCGTTATTTTGATACTTCTTATTTGTCTTTCTTATCTGAACTGCCAAATTGAAATCATACATCTCAAGTTTTATAGTTGTACGATACAAAGGAAGATCTTTATATATTGCTGAGAGTTGAAATGAGTGTTTTAGACACATGTCAATTTTCACTTTCACTAAGATAAAATTTGCCTGTTGATACCTGGTCTCAGGCTTGCACTTCTTCCAATCTAGTCTTATCCAAACAGAAGGACTTTAAAAAAAATTGTGCTGAGTAGTTTTTTCCTTTATAATACTTGTAGATTTTCTTATCCATTTTATTGGGAATTAATCAAGAAAGTGGAAGTTATATTGATGGAACTGTTTTTAAAATAAATTGTTTATTTGAAAGAGTTATAGAGAAAGAGGGAGAGGGGGGATAGAGAGGAAGAGAGGGAGAGAGAGGGAGAGGGGGATAGAGGGAGAGGGGAGGGAGAGAGACAGAGACAGAGAGAGAAGAATCTTCCATCTGCTGGTTCACTCCCCAAATGGCTGCAACAGCCAGAAACTTTACGCTGGTCTCCCACACGGGTGGCAGGACTCAAGCACTTGAGGCATCATTTTCTGCTTTTCCAGGCACATTCACAGGGAACTGGATTGGAAGTGGAGCAACCGGGACTGGAATTCATATTGAATGCTGGCATCACAGGCAGTGGCTTATCTACTGTGCACAATGCTGGCCCCAATGGGACATTTTCTTGAACTGTAATCTTTTCCTAAATTGCTCATTTGAGATATAAGGGAAATCATGAATCCCACTAAATAAGTCACAAACAGGGAGACAACCAGCGATTCCTTCCAATCCAAATTATTTCCTAATAATTTCTCATACACTGCGAGGGAGTGTATGTGTGAGGTAGACTGCCATTGGCTAAGGGCTTTTCTATCACTGAGGATTTCTCTATTGCTAGGAATTCTCACTAGGGACTTTCTCATTGCCAGGGGTTTCCTCTAGTGACTTCCTTAGTGACAGGTGCCCAGGTGAGTACACCACTGGTGTTCAGCTTGCACAGTAAGCACTCAAATACTTGAATTTGGTGGGACTGAAAAACAGAAAGCTAAAATAAAATCACTCCTAGAAGCTGCCACAGATTTGAGGAGGATATAGTTACTGAGCTATGGTTATACTTCCAAATCAAGATAGGACATTGACCTAATTAATTTAATGAGGAATGCAGACTGTCTTAAGCTAGAGATTCTGCTAAATAAATCCTAAGAATTTCTACATTGCTGATGTGTAGCCAAAACTTTTCACTGTTTTCTAGCACCATTGTATCTAAAATGAAAGTTACAAGTGATCTATGTGTAACTCAGAACTTTTTTGTAATGTTCTTACAATGGGTATCCATTGGTAAACCTTGAATTCCAGACACTGACTCAAAATAGAGCAAAGTGACTTGCTGTTGAAATATAGATTATGAACAGGTTGATTCACCTATGGAAACTGGTGCTTTCCCATCTTTGCAAATGATTGTTGTGATTAAAATCCTAGTCCTTTATTCATGGAGAACAAAAAGTCCTCTCCCTGCAAAAGCATGTAACTGTTTTGCAAATTACTTTTTTTTTTTTTAAGAAATTATCCTAGCATTGAAGGTTTTTGCAGAAGGGTTATAGAATACACACACACACAGAAATAGTCAGTTGAATCCTGTTTTCTCTGTGTAGATGTCAGCTTGTTTGGCTTCACCATACAAGAGACTTGAAATGTTAAACATTAATATGGAGCGAGAACATTGAAATGATCATTCATAACGTCTTCTTCCTATTAGCTAAGATTTATATTTTTGATTTAAAACTAATTATAAGCCAAGCAGGAGGCCACTAGAAACAGTTCTATCAGTACTTTCTAGGGCCAGTGCTGTGGCACGGTGGATTAATCCTTCTGCAGCACTGCCATCCCATATGGGTGCCGGTTCTAGTCCCAGCTGCTCCTCTTCGGACCCAGCTCTCTGCTGTGGCCTGGGAGTGCAGTGGAGGATGGCCCAAGTGCTTGGGCCCTGCACCCGCATGGGAGACCAGGAGGAAGCTCCTGGCTCCTGGCTTTGGATAGGCTCAGCTCCGGCCATTGTGGCCATCTGGGGAGTGAACCAGCAGATGAAAGACTGCTTTCTGTCTCTTCCTCTCACTGTCTGTAACTCTACCTCTCAAATTTTTAAAAAAACCACCAGCTTTTAAAAAAACAATCTCTAATGGAAAACTCAAAGTAACTCACAGAATCTGCCTTAAAAATTCATTTCTGGGGGAAAGGGTATGTGGGTATATGTAGTTACCAAAGGACACCATGAAGGCCACATGTGGTGATGGATAGTTTATATTTCAATTGTGGTGATAGATACACAAATACACACATGTGGTAGGATTACAGAGACTTATACACACACACACACACACAAACACACACATCACACTGGTGCAAACAGGTTTGGGGAGTTATTGCCAGTAGATTGGATTGATGTCAATATCTTGGTTGTGATAATATCTGCAGGATATTGCCACTGGGGAAACTAGGTAAATAGTATCAGAAATTATTCTGCATTATTTTTTTTTTTTGACAGGCAGAGTGGATAGTGAGAGAGAAAGACAGAGAGAAAGGTCTTCCTTTTGCCGTTGGTTCACCCTCCAATGGCCACTGCAGCTGGCATGCTGCAGCGGGCGCACCACACTGATCCAAAGGCAGGAGCCAGGTGCTTCTCCTGGTCTCCCATAGGGTGCAGGGCCCAAGCACCTGGGCCATCCTCCACTGCCTTCCCGGGCCACAGCAGAGAGCTGGCCTGTAAGAGGGGCAACCGGGAAAGAATCTGGCGCCCCGACCGGGACTAGAACCCAGTGTGCCGGTGCCGCAAGGCGGAGGATTAGCCTAGTGAGCTGCAGCGCCGGCCCTATATTATTTCTTACATCTATGTGTGAATCTACATCCCTAATACAAGGGTTTAAAAATAAACAGTTCCTCTGCTTTTTCCAAAAGTTCTCAGTTTAAAATCATCCAAGTAGGCACCAACGTCTCAGTTATTTTTCTTTCCTTATGTATTTCCAACATAATTACAAATTTATCCCTAGAAGTCAAGCACAGAGACCACTGTGTGAATGTCACTTAACAAAGCACTTAGGCATATAATAGAGTGAAATTCAAGTAACAGCACGGGTGAAGGGGTACACACATTGTTAACAGAACAACTAATGCTTTTTAAACAACGCTATAAATCATGTGAGTTTCTTATAAACACCCTTCTTAACCTAAAGTACCACTTATAAATACACTGACTCTTTTGATATTCACAACAAAAATTGTTTATCTGCCTTTTTATGTTACTGCTGTATTATGAGTAGCCTTTGTAATAACCCTTCTAAAATTACTCAAAGAAGCACCAGAAGCCTAAAAAATGTTTTCTTTCATGATACAGCAACAGGGATGATTACAGGGTCATTCTGGGAATGTCATGGGCCTTAAGCATATTTGTATTTCATAATCTTCTTCATTATCAAAGATATTAAATCTGCATGCCATATTCAATATAATTAATATAAAAACATCAATATGGTGAGCCAGTTGACTAACTGGTAGAATGTTTTACTTTGGAGGCCTTTAATTAGAGAATTAATAAATGTGATTTTGCAGTTTCATATGTGAATTTTATAACAATTGTTAGGACAAAAGACAAGTTCTCATTATGGCTCATCTGCCCTACACATTATGCACATAGACTACAGTGACTAAAATTACTAATATTTGCATGGTTAAGTAGCATGGTTCACACGAAGAATGTGGAGTAAGGGGGTACGATAGGGGAAATTAGTAAAATTAACTACCTTCTCAAAGCCTGGGAATTTGTCTTTTAAGGTACATTAAAACAACAACTAACCTGAGCATATGAGCAGCATTGAAGACAACGTCAAACTCTGTACTATCCAGTTCCGCTGCTTTTTTTGCCATCTCTGCTGCTTCTACAAGGCGGGCTTCTTCCAGAAGAAACTGACCTGCAAAAAAAGAGAGCAAATGAAATTCAACTCTGAACATAATAATTATAGGAGACAATAAAGTGGTTATTAGAGAAAATAAGGACAGTGGTAAAGGTTGATTTGAAGCTAAGATTTAACGACATGTTCATTATTATTTTGTCATACTTTATATGCCTTTCCCTTAATTGCAAGATAGTTGAAGGCTTCTATTGGATGCTTTAAAATTTTCTTAAAAACAGCCTTTAGAGAATATTCAAGCAGGAAATAAGATGAATAAATTTGAAGAATTTTATATTACAAATGTGATTATGAATTGACTGGTTTTGCTAGTGTTTAAAACACCTTGTGTCTATGATATAAGGAAAAACAGGTGTATCCATACTGAAGTATTCATTTTTATACTTAAGTACTGCTAAAGTCATTTAAAGAACATATAAAGGTAGACTTAGCATTAGTTCAATTAGATTTAGTAATAAAAATAGAATATTATGTTCACATATGTTTTTTAAAGACTTTATTTATTTGTTTTGTAAGAGAAAGAGCCAGAAACTGATCTCTTTCGGTTACTCCCCAAATGCCTGCAATGGCTAAAGCTGGCCCAGGCCAATACCGTGTGCCAGGAAATTCTTCTGGGCCTCCCATGTGGGTGGCAGAGGTCCCAAACTTTGAGCCATCATCCTCTGCTTTCCCAGGAAGCTGGATCAGAAGCATGGGGTAGCTGGATCTTGAACCAGCACTCCCACAAGGGACGCAGATGTCCAAAGCAGGGGCTTAACCCGCTCTTCCTCAATGCCTCCTCAAGTGCACACAGTTAAGATTACTTTGAGTCCGCTTTGCAAGGGTAGAATTATTATAGGCTGGGAGCAGGGAAGCGACTTCACTGGAGTTCTGGCTTCATTTCTCATTCCAGCTCTCTGCTAATGGAAATCCTGGGAGGCATCAGGTGATGGCTCAGAGAGTTGGGTTTCTGCCCCCACAGGGAAAAGCTGCACTGAGTTCTAGGCTCCCTGCTTTGCGCTGGCCCAGCCCTGGTTGTAGCGGACATTTGTGGAATGAACCAATGGGTTGGACTTCTCTGTCTGCCACTCTCTACGTCTCTCAATAAATAAGTGAATAAATTTTTAAAAATAATCACTAGAGAGAGCCACACAGCTGTTCAAAACTATACCTCGACAATTTTTATACAATGCTATGCCAGAAATATATTGTAAAGATAAAGAAACCTACATAAGTGTTGAGCCCAACTCTAAGGCTACAAATATGCAGAGATAACAGGTTACTTTTTTATAGCTAGGGATTAATTAACAGCAAAAGAATGATGTTAACATTTATGTGGTAAGTATATTCGAATAAAAACTAAATCAAAAGGTGACAGGAAAATGCTGAGGCCATTTAGGCAACTGCCGGGTTTGTCGAATTGTGGTCTAATTTCTTCTTGTTTGGGGTTTCCTGTTTTCTTAAAGAATTTAATGATACTAAAATAAAAATGATTTTCAAGTCCTGAGCAGTGCACAGAAATAGAAAACTATAAAATCAGTAAATGCTCCCTGATGACTGTTGGTAGAGCCCATTATTTATTATTTATTTAGTAAATACTACAAATAATTTTTTAGGCACTAAAGACCAATTTTTAAAAATAAAAGGGGTTGGCCGGTGCTGCGGCTCACTAGGCTAATCCTCCGCCTTGCGGCACACTGGCACACCGGGTTCTAGTCCCGGTCGGGGCACCGGATTCTGTCCCAGTTGCCCCTCTTCCAGGTCAGCTCTCTGCTGTGGCCAGGGAGTGCAGTGGAGGATGGCCCAAGTGCTTGGGCCCTGCACCCCATGGGAGACCAGGAGAAGCACCTGGCTCCTGCCATTGGATCAGTGCAGTGTGCCGGCTGCAGCGCGCTGGCTGCCGCGGCCATTGGAGGGTGAACCAACGGCAAAAGGAAGACCTTTCTCTCTGTCTCTCTCTCTCTCACTGTCACTCTGCCTGTAAATAAATAAATAAAAGGGGAACTGTTTCACAAGGTGATAATATACTTTAGACACAGTTTGCATTTAAGTTATTTCTAAACTCTGTTAAGTAAACACTTATGAGTAAAGGCAGACCTAGGATTATAAAGCCAATTTTTCAAAACTAAGTGACAAAGATTTATTATGTATTTATTTATTTTTAAAGATTTATTTTATTTATTTAGAAGGCAGAGTTACAGAGAGGAAGGGAGAGACAGAGAGAGATCTTCCATCCACTGGTTCACTCCCCAAGTGCCCACAATGGCCAGGGGTGGGCCAGATGGAAGCCAGCAGCTTCATCAACGTCTCCCTCATGGATGCAGGTGCCCCAGTACTTGGGCCATCTGCTGCTGCTTTCATAGGAGCACTAGCAGGGAACTAGATCAGAAGCAGAGCAGGGGCCAGCACTGCGGAGTATCGGGTAAAGCTGCCACCTGCAGTGCCAGCATCCTATGTGGGCGCCAGTACAAGTCCCGGCTGCTCCACTTCTGATCCAGCTCTCTGCTGTGGCCTGGGCAAGCAGTGGAAGATGGCTCAAGTCCTTGGGCCCCTGCACCCATGTGGGAGACCTGGAGGAAGCTCCTGGCTCCTGGCTGCAGATTGACACAACTCTGGCCATTGCGGTCAATTGGCGACTGAACCAGCAGATGGAAGACCTCTCTCTCTCTCTGCCTTTCCTTCCTCTGTAACTCTGACTTTCAAGAAAATAAATAAATATTTACAAAGAAAGAAAAGAAGTATAGCAGCCAGAACTCAAACTGGCACCCACATGGGACGCTGGTGTCACAGGCAGTGGCTTAAACTGCTATGCCACAATGCTGGCCCTGAATGACAAAGTTTTAAGGCCAGCACTTGGAGATTATTTAGCAAATTCTACAAAATGTTTCACACTGCTTTCTGAGTTTGTCATTCAACATTTTGTTAACATGCTAACATGCTCAAAAACAGGCAAAATTTTGGGATAAGGATAGTACTTAAAGTTATAAATAAGTGATATTTATAAATAGAAAAATGCATTACTTAAGAAATTCCTATAGATGCTAATTTAACCAATATGGAGATATGATATAAAATTTAAAATGCATATTGTTGGGGCAGGTGTTGTGGTCCAGCAGGTTAAACCACCCCTTGGGACGCCCCCCTCTTACAGCAGAGGATCAGGGGGAGCCCCCACTACTCTGCTTCTGCTCTAGCTCCCTGCTAGTGCTCCTGAGAAACTGCAGATGAAGCTTCAAGTACTTCAGTTCCGGTTATCCACGCTGGATACCCGGATGGAGTTGCTGGCTCCTGGCTTCTGCTGGGCTTGGTCCCTGCCTGCTGCTTCTCACCCTCTCTGTCACTCTTTCAAATAAATGCAATTTATAAAAAAATACATATTCTTTAAGAAAAGACAGCAAGAATGAGATAATCCATGGCACAGTGAAAAGTAATATCTTTTTACATGTATCTAATAACAGACATCAGGCTAAATTTACCCTTCGGTTAGTTATGCTTGATATAGATTTCATGGATTAAAACACAATTATTGGGGCCAGCGCTGTGGCACAGGTTAATCCTCTACCTGAGGTGCTGGCATCCCATATGGGCACTAGTTCTAGTCCAGGCTGCTCCACTTCCGATCTAGCTCTCTGCTGTGGCCTGGGAAAGCAGAGGAAGATGGCCCAAGCACTTGGGCCCTTGCACCTGCATAGGAGACCCAGAGGAAGCTCCTGGCTCCTGTCTTCAGATTGGCTCAGCTTTGGCCATTTCGGCTAACTGTGGAGTGAACCAGCGGATGGAAGACCTTTCTCTCTCTCTCTCTCTCACCTGCTCACTGTCTGTAACTCTACCTCTCAAATAAAATAAATAAATAATATATATATATAAAACACAATTTTTAATTGCTACTTGTCTTCAAAATAAAATATTTACGTAAATAAATACATTCCTGTATTAATTATCTATGTGATAGTTAAGCAAAGGAGAGTGCAGAAAACAACCGTTCTTTGTCTTTTCAGGCAGCTATTAACTCCGGAATTTAGAGTATATAACAATCAGGAAAATGTGACAATTAATTGAATAATGAAGCTTATGTTCTTTTTTTGTTTGTTTGTTTTTGACAGGCAGAGTTAGACAGTGAGAGAGAGACAGAGAGAAAGGTCTTCCTTCTGTTGGTTCACCCCCCAAATGGCAGCCATGGCCAGCGCGCTGCGCCGATCCGAAGCCAGGAGCCAGGTGCTTCTCCTGGTCTCCCCTGTGGGTGCAGGGCCCAAGCACTTGGGCCATCCTCCACTGCCTTCCTGCGCCACAGCAGAGAGCTGGCCTGGAAGAGGAGCAACCAGGACAGAATCCGGCGCCCCAACCGGGATTAGAACCTAGGGTGCCTGCACCACAGGTGGAGGATTAGCCTAGTGAGCCGCAGCACCAGCCAAAGGTTATGTTCTTAAAATTCAATATTCCTGACTGTACAGGGAAAATGAGATTTTAATTATGGTAAAAAACTGCAAAGTAAAAGATACATAATGCTTCATGTAACGGAGAGGGAGAGGGTTAAGATAGCTTTATGATAAAGACCTATATGATGAGGGTGATGCAATTCAATGACATAAGGAGCCAGTTTACAAGCAATATCCAAGGCAAAACCTTTCAATGTTACATCTTTAATGTTGATCAACAAAAGAAATAACATTAACTAATTACATAAAATCAAATAGGTTTTATCATCCTCTAATAAAATTTTTTATCTGAATTTAGCTTTGTCAGGCAACATGTACTTTGTAAAAAGCTTGCAAAGTACAAAAACTAGAGGGAATATATAATTTTTAGTATTGCAAATGGTGACATAAAAAATTCCTATATAAACATTTTATAACAGCAGAATTCATTCATCATATTAATATTCAGAATAACAATGTCACAACACATTAATTAGATATTTGCATAATTCCCCTCATTCTGTTCTTGACAGACCATATATCTCAATAGCCCAGCACTGGTGTTCGGCTATGATAAAAGCATAAAATATTGTAGAGTATGAATTG